AAGAAAGCAACTTATCTCTTCTTTAAACTCAATTTTTGACTGTCTTTTAGGTTGATCCACTGTCAGAATACTGAAATTATTCTATTTTGCCTGCCTGCTCAATATTCAGTTTTGGATTTAGTTAATATCAACAGAAACCCTTTGCAGATTCGCACAATATTTCAAATTCGTTGCTGATGTCTTTCTTGGGTTCTAGCCCAAACCAGGTGGACCTTTAAAAAGAACAGGAGAGTCTTTAGGGCAGGCGATGGGGCAGAGGCCAGATTCCTCACATGTGGGTGGTTCAGGTTCTCATTAAAACACCACAGTGGTACCCTTCCTTCATTTCTCTGAGCTTTATTATCCTGTCTCTAAAATGGAAGTAATAATGTATGCTGTGTCAAAAATCACAGGACATTTAAAAATCAAGTGAGAAAACAACCTACAAATTGCTGAACCAATGTTAATTACCTTTCCATCTAGTAAATGCTTGATTTTATAAATTATAAGCAGTTCATTATTTGAGCCTCAAAAGAAATTAGAAAGTATTAGAAAGCATGTATTAGTACCTAATCAATTTAGGTGAGAAATTGAGATTAAAAGAACTTTCAGTATGTCTAAAACTTGCCCATTGAGGAATACCTCACAGCACAGAAGCAGAAACTTCTGTAACTAAGAATTCTGAAAGTAGTGTCCAGACAGCCTCTCTGAAAAGCCAAAATCTCCCATCTGCTCATCCCTGCATCCTATAGTTACCTAAATATAGAAAAGGGCCACAGTTTTAATTCTGTTGATAAGCGTTTGATACAGGAGGCACTAAATTTACAAATCAAAGACTTGGATAAGCTAAAATAAGGGGAGTTTCAGTTGTTTGCAATCCCCTCTCCCCACTTGAAAAAAAACTAAGATCTACCTGTAGGTAACACAATGGTAAAGCTGATTAGGATACAAGCTAAGAGAAAACTTTCTAACAAGCAAAACTATTGGAAGTGAGTTTGTTCCATTTGGTAAATTTTTTTATTCCAAAGTCATTCCTGCATTATTTGTAGGGTAACTTTGTTAGCTGTTCAGCTTTAGATGGGCTATTTGAGTAAACTTCACTTAAAATTTGCTTTCATAATGGGATTCTATATCGATATTTAGATATCTAATATTTAATCTAATACTTCAAGATATCTGTGATGATAGATCATCCATAACTCTGTTATATTCTAGAATGAAGTATAAAGTCCAATATTTTTTTAAGATGAAATATAATATACTACAAAGCAACTTGGCAGGATTTTTAGAGTGAACTCAGACACTAAGTACACAGGATGCTAAAATATACTGCAGATGTAACAGGATGGTAAGAGCAGCTCCTCAACTATATATTGTTAGAAGGGATATTCTGATAAATAGCTTAGGCTGATTAGGTTGAGATCTCATTGGGGAAACTCATAAAACAATAGATGGTCTCTAAATTACTTTCATATTAACTTCAGGTTATTAACAAGCTTTGTTTGACTCAAAACTCTGACAGCTCCTGACTCAGAATGTATAAATCAAAGTTTGACAAAATTATTAGAAATAATTTACATATCTTCCTTATATGGAGATGTTTTAATTAACTTCTATTAAAAATTGATAAATTCTGTGCACAAATAATTACATGATTTAAGGTCAAATGAATGTAACAACATATAAATCACTAGAAAAATTTTAAATTTATATGTTAAAATATTGCATGAGATGAATGATGTATTAGTCAGGATTCAACCAGAGTCAGTAGGAAACACATCGTAAGAGATTTTATTTGCAAGGAATTGGTTTAAGTTCATCACCATGGCTGGCTAGGAAATTCCAAAATCCATAGGACAAGCCATGAGGAAAGACAGGTTGGAACTCTCACGCTGAAGTTGATATTCATGGGCTGAATGTCTGCTTCAGGCTTGCCTCAGCTCTACTCTTAAGGTCTTTTCACCTAATTAAATCTGTCCCAAGCTGTTTATCTGGGTCAATATTCCTAACCAAAACCAAGTAAATATAGACTGTAGACTCACCTATGAAATACCTTCACAAGGACACCTTGATTAATATTGAACTGAGTGAATGGATGCTATTGCTGAGCCATGAAACTCATAAAATTTACCATTATAGATAGGATTTTAAATCAGTTGTCAGGGAAAATATTGATGTAATTGTCTATACAGTTATGTATTTAGACATGACCACTATTAAAGTCATGAGCTGCTGCAATGATTTGGTAAGCATTTGTTCCTAGATTTCACCCCCTGTTAACGAAACTCCCCAGAAGACCTCTGTAATCCTGCTGCCTTAGTAGTTAACAACAGCACCTGTGAAAGGATAAAGTGTTAACACGTATCAGACCAATGGTGGATAACAAACTGAAGTGATGATAGGCCTACTGGATGGGTGACAAAGGACTTTGTTCAAAAGTACCTCTTTGCCACTGTGTTGATGATATTGATTGCTATGTTTTCACCTAGTGTTTCTTTGTGTTAAGTGCTGCTGAA